CACCAACACGAGCTGCCCAGGGGAGTGGGCATCCTGGAGGTGTTCACAACTCGTGGATGTGGTGCTTGAGCCCATGGTTCAGTGCTGAACATGCTGGTGCTGAGCTGCTGGATGGATCTTAGAGGGCTTTTCCAACCTGAACAGCTCCATGGACACGTTTGCTGGTGATGCACAGGTTGTTGGTGTGGTTTGAGCTGGGCACACAAAGGTTGTCAGAGCTCGTGCTGCTGCCTGCAGCCCCAGCTGGGCCATTGTGCACCCACTGTGCCTTGCAGGTGGCTGGAGGAAAGCCAGGCTGTGCCCCAGCTCTGCTCCTGATCCCTGGCTCATCCCAGCTGTGGCCACACCAGGGGACTCCCAGTGTGGGGGAGCTGCTGAGGAAAACCAGCAAGTGCCAATCTGAGACTGCTCTGTGTTTGGCTTTGCTCCTTCATCCCCTTGTTTTGACTTCTATTTCCATTTTTGAGTGCCTGTGGGAACAGCACAGGAATGGAAGATGCTCAGTAGCATTACAAGATGATCAATTTAGCCAGATTTCGACAAGTTTTATTGTGTTGCAACAGAATTTTCTGAGCTCCTGTGCTACAAATTATTTTCTAATCTTTGGGTGGCATTCCTAGCTCCTTATGTCATCTTTTTAGCAAGTCATATCACATCAGGGTTTTTTTTGGGGGGGTTAAATTCAATGTAATTATTACTTTCAGCTGCTCAAGCCTGCTCTTGCATGTGTGGTTTACATCCCTTGTAACTGTATGTACACTTAATTTTTTTCTCCAGTAATCCTGTCCCAGCCATAGCTCTTCTCTCAGGTAGAGGCAACAACAAAGCAGTTCATTTCTTTTGTATATTTACTTCTACTGCCAAATACTGGTAAATGCAATTGGGAAGCCACTTGCCAGATGGAAATAAGATGAAATTATTCATTTCCCATGACAATATAAGGATGTTTTTGTTTATTGTATGTACAGACAGAAATTGGAGACTTAGGCTCAGGTTAAGGCAGCTGGAGTTCACCTAAATATCTGCATTCTGCATGTTGTAATTCAATGTACTCCTTATCTCCCTTGAATTTTTATCTTCATATTTGTGACTGACAGTTTTTGCTTTTAATTCTTTATTAAAATTATTCATTGATAATTTAAAGAAAGAAAGGAATTTCATGTGAACTGGACATTTCAGCTCATAATAAAATGCTTTAACATCTTCAATGTCATTAAATAAAATCATATATATATTTCAGAAAATTAGTCATGGCCACTTCTAATGCTATTCAGTAGCTAAATTAATGAACAGATGTAAAATGATAATTTTCAAGAATAATGTATGCTTCCTCTTTTTTTTAACTACAGAAGTACAAAAGTACTGATGGTGGGATTTTTTTTCCTAATTAGGTCTCAAAAGTATTTCAACATATTTGTATATGTTCTTTGCCATGATTATAATCAGCCTTGTTTAATGTGTTTTAAAGTTAGGTAACGTTTTGTTGAGGTTTGGTGTCCCCTGGATGGGTTTGCAGGGTTTCAGGCAGGGCTCTTGCAGTGGGATTAGAGGGGTTCCCAGCTGAAGGTGTCACTGAAGGCACAGCTGGAAAATGTCACAGCAGCAGCAAACAACACCTTGCAGCATCTTGCATCAGCTTTTTCCCTCCAACACTCATAAACAAATGTATTATTGCTCACCTAATAGAGCTTTAAATTAGAAAAACAGTAAGTTATGTAGTGTTGGTGTTTACATGTGTGTTTTCTGGTCTCCAGAAGGAATCTGGCACATGTTCCCCTTTGCCTTTGCCTTGGTGGCTCTCCTTCCTTTCCCTGTGTCTGTCAGAGGTGAATTATCAAGAGCAGCCCACCCAGAGCCTTCTGCAGGTGTGAGGTACCTGTGCTGTAGTGGCAATTCCAGCCCTAGAACACACTCACTGGTGTTCAGAGAATAAGGAAATTCTCCTCTGCTGCAGCTTTTGTTTCAAACTCTGACATTTCTGCCATGGAAACCTGGGCAGGCACTCGCCAGCTCTCGGTGCTGTCTGTAAGACTTGGTTTGGAAAAAAGCTGATTTTGAATGAAGATGTAAGCCCAGTACCATTATCAAAGTGCTGTAATGAATAATCACAGCACTGAACTCCAAGGTCTGTATGAAGTAATACAGCTGCTTTAGCTTCCAGATTGATTTTTCATCTTGCTTTTCTGAGCTGCCCTGTGCTGTCTGCTGTAAAATCCTTCTTTCATCTCTGCCTTTGGTTCTGTGGCATCAAACCAAAAAACGTCTTATCTTTAAAGAGGCACTTGTGAAAGGAGAACCTGACAAGGGGCAGGAGGTTGGTCAGCAATGGTGTATTTCTGAAAAGTATCAATTATCTTTGTAACTGAGTTAATTATTTTTTGAAATTCTGTAATCTGCGTTTGGATCGCTGCTGGAATGGTTTGTGTGATCAGAGCCTCTGGCAGAAGAGGGATGAGAGTGTGGCTTTGGAGAGGTCTCTGATGCTCCAAGTCATCCCAAGAAGGGCTGAAAAGATACTGGAGAGATTCTAGGAGCTGCTTAATCTGGAAATTTTAATAGTGAGCCTTTCTGCCTGTGAATCTGGACTTGGTAAGATTGGTGCTGATGCTGTGTTGTGACTTCAGTGCAGTCACATGGTTCTGGGGTTTCTCTGCTCTTTGTGAATTGCATGAAGTGAACTTTGAAGTCTCAAGTGTGGAAGGATAGAACTTTTTGGAAAGAACATATTCTCTGGCCTTCTTCAAGTAGAAAAAAATTAATCTAACCCAGATACCTAATGTTTGTTAAATGGATGATCTGTAAATAGAGACGTTGCAGCCCTACAAGCTAGAGTAGGTGAGAATAGCTGAGGTTTGTGATGAAACTTTGGAATGTGTGTGGTCTGCTGTGGCCTAAATGTAATTCTTGATTTTACAACCAGTAGAGGAGTGCACCTGCATCCAGGTGAGGAGGGGTGAGTAGGGAAATGGTTCTGTGCCCTATACAGGCAGAGTTCCCACTGGGAATTCTGCCTCAGCTCACCCTCTTCATGTCTGTTTATAAACTGTTGTGTGTTCAAACCCCACAGCACTTCTCCTGTGTTATTGTTACAGCTGAATAATTTAATACCTGTTTTGCACAGGGCTGGTGTAGCACCTTTGCCCTTGAACTCTTGCTCACAGAGCTGTTTGTGACTTCCTCTTTCTGATTTATGTGAATTATCACTGTTGGGAAGGAACCTTCCTTTCTGGGAGGTGATACTTGGTAACAAAAACATTTATTACTCTGATTTTCTCTTACCCTGATCCTTCTGCAGCTTGCAGGCCAAGGAAGGGGGTGTGTGTTTTGTGCAGGTTTGTCTTTGGTGCTCCTGGACAAGTCTGGTGCCCTGGGGGTGTGGTGGTCTGTGCTCTAAAGTCTCCACCCATGGAGCTCTAGGAGATTTAACTCTTGAACAAATCAAGTTTGCAGCAGGTCACTCATCTTCTTGAATCGTTTTTCTCAGCAGACACAAACCCAGGTTTTCTATGTGCTGTGATGGAACAGAACTCTGTTTGTTGCCTCCCCAGGGGACAGCTCATTTTTAACTCTTGGGTGGTTTTCTGTTTGTGTTGTTGTGCACCTGCTCTTATTTCCTTGTTTAATTGAGAACAATTAGTGATAAGGGCCTGATTACTCGATGAAGTGTCACTTTAGGGTTTTAAATGGAGCTGATTAGAGCTGAGGGGTCAGCCCTGGGGGAGTGCTGGGCTTTTCTGGCCATGGTGGCTCAGGGTTTTTGTGCCAGCTGCTCCTGGGAGAGCGGAGGGCAAGGGGAGAGCAAGGGTTGCTTTGTTGTTGAATCATTGTTTTTGTTCAGTTTTCTCTGATTTAGGCTCTTTAGAGGTAGCTGAGGCTGAGGGCACTGCCTGGGACTGGCTCAGTCAGTGATGGCATGAACATACCCGAGATCAAGTGATTATCCAGGGCTGTAAACCCAGCAGAATTCCTTTGTGCCAGATGTTGTCCTGGTGGCAATGGGTGTAAGGAGACAAATACCTGTTTTCTACATTCTTTTATTTTTTTATTAATGAGATTGAAACAGATTTTGTTATTCTTCATACTAAAAATTATCATTTTTTTCTTAGGAAATACCTGTAATGAAACCCATGATGGCTCATTACAGTGCAACAGAAAATAGTGCTCAGATAACAAAACCATATTCAGTCTGCTGGAAACTTCATCTTAATTTGACTTTAGAGTTTTTCAGTTACTTTTGAATGACTTAAAATATTCATTAAGTTCAATTAATGTTAAGCACATTAACATTCTATTCCTTCAGTGCCAAATATGTTATGTGATATTTAAAAGGAAATAAATCCTTGTTAATGGGTTTACTTAATGCTTAAGAAAATTCTGTGAGAATTGACTGTTTTAAATTATGCAAAAAATCAGCTTATATTTTAGGTGCTCCAGTGCCACATTTCCTGCCATATAATTTCAAGTGCTGAACATAAGGCTAGAGAATCTTGCTAATTTAAAATAAATCACTTTAAAATATACTCTGTTTTCTTAGTTTTGCTCTTTACCACAGTTAACATAAATAATTCATAAAAACATACCTTTGTTCAGTGTGGTAACTATCAAATGATTTATGTTGTTGGTTTTGGATTAAGACTTTATTATTAATGCTTCAATAGAGGGCACTCATGTGCTTTGAGGTAACACCAAATTTCTGTGTTTTTAAAAATGCTTGCAATGAATTGGAGCTGAAGTGAAATTTCATGGGTTAAAACACATAAATAATGTTTGATAGTGCTTGAGAAAATTATTCATTGTCGTATTTTTATTTCTTGTTCCTTTCAACTTTGGACATTTGCTTTGTTTGTTTGGATATTTTACAGTAGGTGGAGGCAGCACAGTCACTTTGCCTTGAACTGATTGTAAAAGATGTATTGTTATGGCTTGCTAATGGACTTGCTGTTAGCTAAGATGGAACAGTTGTAATAAGGAATGGAATTTAATGAATACCTACTTTCCAGCCAAAAAGCCTGTCGAAGAATCAGAAGAAAAGAAAGCAGCTCAGTCAAAGAAGAAGATCAAAGAATTACGAGTTTTGGATGGAAAATCTGCACAAAATTTATGTAAGTGATATGAAGGGCATTAGGTCAATGTTGAAGTAGCATCTACACCTCACTGTTTGTAAATTGTCTTTTTTTGTGTACTTGTGCAATTACTTTTTCTAAAAACTGCTAATTTGAGCATGAGCCTTAAATTCAGAGGTGTGTAAATGCATGTTCTGAACTCATTATATAACTTGGGAAAAAATGAAAAAAGTAACATGGAGAAATTCTTCAGCCTTAATGGGGTTTTTGTCAGTTGATTCTCTCAATTATTGCTCAGGACTGAAAGTATAATTGGGTGATGATTAGGAGTTGGGGCAGAGCACAGTGTGGGTGGGGATTAGAGGCTGTTCCTAATTGTTCTTGTGGTCAGAGTGAAGAAATGGAGGTTCAAGGGAAGATGTTGCCAGATGTGCTGCAGAGGTGCAAGTGCTACTGCTGGGAACTGCACCAAAACCAGCCCACTTGTGTCATTTCACTTCTTCCCTCTTTAATTACAGGGGGAAATCAATCATTCAGAGTCTTTTATTTGAATCAGAAACACCATAAATGTCACTAGTCCAACTGTGCCCAGGGCAAATAAGTGTGGAAACCCAAATGTGGGCTTTGTTTAGTTCCACATCCGTGGGCAGAAAATGAGCTATGACACAAGTGATAGAAAACCTCAAATTTTGGAAGTCATGGATGCAGGATAATCAGCCATAGTAGTTAGGCTGAATATAAAGCACTTTTTTTACAATGTTATGCTGATCCATCTGTTAAGAATTCTTTGTAGTTTACTGAATGGGGCTCTCTTGAGATTTTATAACATTCTGAGACCAAATTGCTTTGAGAACTCTATCTTTGAAGGGTTTGCATTATGTCTGTCTCTTGTATAAGTTCAGTTACCCTAAAAGAGATAGAGTTAGGGCATTTTTCTTACTTTGCCCTACTCTTCATTACCCCTTTGATGTGAATTTTCTTCCAGAATATCACATTAATATCGTTTACCCACTTGTAAGTGCAGTGCAGCTATTCATACATGCTTATGAAAGCAATAATAATAATGAAGATATCTATTATTGGCTGAGTAGATCTGCTTAAGTAGGAATGCAGGTGTCATTCCTAAAGAACAATTTTATTGGGAAGTAACATTGCTGGGAAGCAACTGAGGCTGATTTAAAAATTAAAATTGTTGTCATAGTTTCATTTCTTAGGAAATTAATTATAAGTCAATCTGCAATAGTGTGCCTAACTAGCATTTGTTTATATGAGAGAATTGTTAACTGTGAAGCACAGCTGAGATGGAGGTGTGATTTTTGAGTTGCTGGAAATGGTTTGCCTTTGTGTATCAATCTTTGTTGACCTTTTTGATTCTAATGATGTATTACTGAATTTCAGCAATATTTTTGGGTTCCTTCCGTTTGCCTTATGAAGAAATAAAAAATATCATTTTAGAGGTTGATGAGGAGAAGCTGAGTGAATCCTTGATTCAGGTATGTGGAAATACCTCTGCTTTTGGTTATAGCTCGTTTTCCACCCAAAAATGGCACAACAAAGTAAGAATTCAAGAATAAGGCAGGGTATCAGTTGTGTTTCATTGATTTCACTTCTGCTGTTGAATATGGTCACAAAAATGCCTTTCAAAGACACAGTCAACAAAAGAATTCCTTGGAATTTCCCCTTCCAAAAGGAAATCTTTGAGAATTGTAGTTTATCAGCTTCAAAGACTAGCTGAAGATGATCCAGGCTGGTGCACGATGAAGTTGGATGAGGATTCTTGTGGAAACAGCTCTGTAACAGCTCTGCCTGTCGAGTGCGAGATGAAACTCCCTGAAAGGTTCAGGACAGCTGCAGCCCCAAACCTGTAAATCAAACCTGCTCTCAAGCTGCTTTAGTCTCATTTTGAGCCCCAAATCTCTCAGCTGGAGAGTAGAAAGGATGGAATGCAGCTTCTTTCCATCCCTCTCTGATTTCCCCCCTCTAGGAGGAGAACAAGTGTGTTCATGGCCCCTCGTGGTCTCTGAGCAGTGACAGTTCAACAGAGAAGCGTGGAAACCCTAAAAGGCGCAAAGATTTAGCAGCCAGCAATGCTGGTGTTGTTTGATTTAACATCAAACACAGATTCCCATTCCTGCTGCCTCTGGGCCTCGATTTATCCCTTAATCCTTCCCCATCTCCTGTTTGCACCTTCATCCCATCCCTCCAAGGTTTTCTAAATTAATTTTTTCTTCCTTTTTTGGACCTGCAGAATGGTTATTGTGGTGACTCCGGTCTAAACTGAGTTGTCTCAGTGTTTGAAAATAAGTGCAAAGCCCTGATTTTATTGAGGACTTGGTTTATTGATCAGAGGTGTCAGATCAGAGGATTAAGAAACCTTCAGGTTGATTAAAATCAAAAATCAAGGGGGAGGAACAGCCCCACCTTGGATAGCTGAAGTGCAGAGCAGTTTCACATTGATCTCCTCTACTACAAATACATTGTTTGGATTTCAACTTGTGTGTATATGGAAATTTAAATGCAATCTACACTTTAACTGAGCATTTCTTAAACTATTTGAGTCCTAATGTAAATATTTAAAATACTTATCATATCTGTATTTTGACACCTGAAGATGATATGATAACTCACAATTTTCTTTGGGAGTATGGATAAGACTGCAAGCAAATTGAACTTTTTCCTGTTTGTTTTCTACTTTTGTCATGTTTTGCACAGAGTAATTTCTTGATTAATATTTAATGAGCAAGGTGCAACCATTGGGGCAAAAGGAATTTGTAGAGAGACAAAACTCCTTGATGCTGTCAGACCCTGAAAAATGATACTCTAACCTTTTAATCCATTCTTAAATCAGAGACTCTAGCAGAGCAGTTGATGTCTGTATTAAATAATTACTGCTTTGATTTGATGTTTATATAATGTTAAAGCTGCACAAATAAAATAAACGTCCCGTAATTTCCTCGTGCATTTCCATGTTGTGGTATTTTAAGCGTGTTATTTTTAATATCTTAGGTAGTTTAATTTAACAAATTTGATATAATGCCTTGTTTGTTTTAGAACCTGGTGAAGAATCTTCCTGAGCAGAAAGAACTCAATGCCTTAGCTGAATTAAAGGATGAATATAATGATCTTGCTGAGCCAGAGCAGTTTGGAGTTGTGGTATGTATTAAACTGCAGAGTTCCATTTTGACACGTAAAAAGAAACAAATTTAATAAAATCTTTTTGTTAGTGGTTGTGTGTGAGACCTGCAGTAGGAAAAAGTTACAATTTCCTGATGAATAATAATCAAAAAATCTCTTTAACATGGATTAGGCCAAATCAACCAGGGTTGGAAGCAGATGATCCTTAGGGTCCTTTCCAGTCTCTGATTCCCCAATTCTGGGTGTTTTTCTGCAAGGAGTTTGACATGAAAAACAACAGGCACTCCTGTTCCAGACCAAACCTTTTGTCCTGCCTTGGATGTTTATTAAACACTTGTGAAGAGCCCTCTGCCTTTGAGCAGATAAATTTCCAATACAAGACCCAGTTACCCCATGGCAGAGACAACTCTGAGCAATTTGTTTTGTGTAGAAAGCTGGAAGAGTTAACATGTCCACATCCCTATTTTATGTGTATATGTGTATACACACATAAAACACCTGTATTTGTACTAAACTTTGCAGAGTGGCTCAAGGAGAGGTGTGAATGTGTAATATCAGTGAAACTGTGGCTTGTGCTCTGCTCCTTTCAGTGGCCCTCAGTCCCTGGATGTGTTCCAGGGCAGGGCATGGCTGGAGCCTCTCTGGGAGGAAATTCCAGCATTTCCATCAAATATTTCATCCATGCAGCTGGGTGAGGGTGGGACACTGAGTTCTCTGCCAGCCCTTGGGAATCACTTTCTGCTCCTGGTCTCCCAAAGACCTCCTGAGTCTTTAGGCAAATGAGTTCCTGTTTTCACTTCCCTTCGTCAGCCTGAGAGATTAAAATGATGATGAGAGCCTCAGTAACGTGCTCAGGGTTTATCTCCAGCTCCACAGGAGCTACGTTTGCTCTTGCTGGATTTTTAAGGCATTATGTACATTAAAATGCATTAAAACAGGAATAGAGGCCTCTTAAAAGACTCTTTTTTTACTAAAAAGCTCTGATTTGAGCATAATTTGGCTTCAGAAGTGCCTTTTGAGGGCTTTTTTTTTTAAATTATTTCCAGTTGGAGAAGTAACAGAATATGATTTGTTCTAATGAGATTTTTTGGAGAGGATTTAGAAAATGAAAGATATCAGTGTGTTCCTTTGAAGAACTTTAGCCTACTGATTTTCTGTTTTTTAATAAATGGCATAAAGTTCCAAAAATTCTTTATTTCCAAAGATGAGGAATTTTGGTAGAACTAACATTAGTTAGCCTTACTGCAAGATGTAAAACATTGCCATTTACTCATCAGTAACAATCTAAAAATCTCTATAAATACATTTTAAATTTTCTACATTCTTTGAATAATAGTATGCAAATATATTTATTATATATTTAAATATATATATTTCAAATATAAACATATCAATGTATTATGTCTTTTGACAGACCAAAACTTATCTATGGATATATTCTGTGTATTGTGATAGATGCATATAATCTATATTATTTTCTATATTCCCCCCTACATAGATACTGTCAGACAAAGTGAGAAATCCCTTTGGGTTTTGCTCAGGGACAATATCTGGAGTGTGTTGGGGGCAAGGTGGAGGTGTTAGGACAAAAGAAGCCTCTGATATGTGGGAATTCTGTTCAGTTTTCTGCTGAAAATCAGCAATGAAATGGGCAGAACTGTGTGTGATGGCCTTGATTTCAAGGGCTCTGTAGGCATCCCTCTGTTTTACTGCTGGAAATTCCTTCACCCTGATCTTCCTCACTTGGATCATTTCCCTCACTGCTCTCTCCTCCTGACACCCATTCCCTTTTCCCAGCTCCACCCCTGGCTGCTCCCAGCTGATATTCCTGGGTTAGGATGCTGCTCTCCTTATCCCATGGGTTCCTTGGATTTGGGATTCCTGCTGGCCTTGGGCTATTGAGAAATCCCTGATTTCCCAGCCCGGCCACACTCCCCTTCCATGGGTTTGTGTTCCTTGACAGAGGAAGTTGAGAGAGTTTCCAAGTATTTAATGCAACATTAATTAGCGAAAACTGCTTAATCAAACATCTCCAAATGGTGCTGTTTGCCTTATGAAGGAACCAAGTGTCCTGAAGCTTGTTTGCTTATTCAGCTTTACCATCTGCTTCAATAAAAACCAGTGCTCTGCCTTGTGGGTCCTGCCTGATTTCTAGAGGCTTCCAACTGCATTACTGGTGCTAAAATGCTGGGTTTTTTTCTGATTTTAGGATCATTCAAGTATCTATTGAAGTGGAAGAAATGCAGCTCAACTTAGTCTTGACAAAATTAATTTGCGTCAATTTAATTTTGGAGTTTCTCATTAATAAAAATAATCTTAACCTTGACTTTAGGAATAGAAGACTACTTTAAATAATATTTAAAGTGGGTATCTTTATTTTTATGTAAATTTAGGTGAGGTAATTAAGATATGTTAATTGGATAATCACTTTGCCCATCAAATTTAATAAAGGTTGGAATGAGTTGTTTAAAATTTGTGTAGAAAAATCATACTTAGTAAAGGATTAACTTATTTGAAGGGACCGATTAACTTAATATTTGGCTGATATGAAAATGAAAATTAAAACTGCATTTTCATTTAGATGAAATGTTAAAATCCATTATATTTTCTAATTAGTTATTGGAACTTTTTGAAGTTGTATCCTGGGATCGAGAAAGGCACCACAACTTTCTGTAGAGGAAAGTTTGCATTGATGTTGAAGCAGAGCAAGAACAGCAGATGAACTGAATCAGCTGTGTCACATGAACTCAGAATGTTACCTGAATTCTACATGGAAACCTTGTGTTCAAGAGTTAATTATTTTATGATATGGGAACAGCTGCAACTTGAGTAAGAAACTGCATTTCCACTTCAGGGGCAGCTGGACTTTTTTAGTATTAGCAAAGCATAAATTTGACTGAGTTGTTGTAGGAACTTGCATGTTCTGTGACCCTTTTCCTCGGCTGTGATGAGCAGTCCTGGCTGGGAGGCAGATAAAATGGGGAGAATTCTCCAAGTTTATTGCACCTCTGTTGGCTTGCAGTCATTCAGTCTTTTAAATTGAATTTATTGGCTGCTTGTTTGGCCTCATTGTTATTTTGTGAGCTGCTGCAGAATTAATCTTCCTAGAATGTTTCCAGAGAAAAAAAGGCAACTTTAATATAACATAGGTAAGAGGCTAAGTTGTCTTAGTAAGTTGACAAATTTTTATTAGAGGAATGTCAGCCTTTTCTTGGGAACTGAGGCAAATTTAATTGTGCTTTTTGCCTTTCTCCAATAGCCTTTGATCCTCATTTTAATACAGGGCTTGAGAATTGAATGATGATAATAAAGCATAAAGAACTGAATAAAGAACTTGATTAGGTAGAGAGTTCAGACAAGACCTTTACGAGAGCCCAGAAGGGGAAATAATGACATGCAGCCCAGCACTGACAGTCAGCTGGAAAAGAAATATTTATATATTTTCTTGCCTTTTAACTGTTTGCAATGGAAGCCAGTGCTTGCTGTTCCATGCACCTGCTTCAATGTTTTATTTCTTATATACCTTTGACACTAATTTTATTTAGACACCTAAAGGATGTGATGTGCGTAAAAATGGTCTGGGTTTGAAGGAAACAGATCTTTAGGAGATGATCAAGATAGTTTTAAAATATTAAGTAGTTCAGGGAGTGAAATTAAAACTTACTGTTGGCTTGGTGGTCAAAAGGTGATAAATGGTCAGTGATCCATGGCACTACACAGTGCTGCTGCTTCTCTGAAGTTTAAGGATTATTCTTCACAAAGGTTTGTCCCACTCTCCTGTGGGCTTGTACTTGTTTAGTTGCACTCTGGTTTTGGGATTTAAAGCTTTTGACAACTTTTGTCTGTGCCATTTTGAGTAAAAACAGCAATTGGAGATTGTTCCACAAAAGTTAAAGCAAATTATGTGATTAATTTTAATTTCCATCTACTGCAGATTAGTGTAAGTAGATCCTTTCAAGGCAGATGTTTTCAGTATGATATTTCTGAAATACAGAATGATTAGAAGAATAATGTTTCAAGACTTTCAATGATTTTGGCTTATAGAGGCTCAGAGAGAAATTTGTGACAATGGTGATTTACAAAAAAAGATCACTAGTTCTGCTGAAATGCTTCTTTTCTGATCCTTTCCTTTTCCTTGTTCCAGCCTGATCATAGGAATTGTTTGAGACCATCTGGAGCTCCTTCATGTTTATGTTCATTTTGGAATGAATTCATTATTATTCAGGCCACTCAAGTTCTTCCTGTGAAAGTTATTGCTGCTGCTTCTGCTAGCAGTTGGGAGATAACACCAGCAGAAACATCGTGGTTCCTCAAGGGACCATGGTCAAAATTTGGCCAACAGAGACAGGAGCACATCAAAACCTTCCTGTTTTGTTAGTCAGGATCTGTGATTTGTCACATTGCAAAGCTTTTCTTGCCCAGTGCTTCAGGAGCACCACGGATGGTGAATACATTGGGGAAGAAATCTTTCTGTATTCTGCTAAGTAAAATGATTTGGAACATAATCATTCTTGCAATTAAATTAAAAATTTCAAGTGGTTTAAGAACGCTCAGTACATCTTTTTTTCCTGATTTAAATTTCTCTTGTGAATTACGGTGTGCTAACTGGGGGGGAATAACTCTGATCACTTGTGCAAAATACGAAAGACAAGGCCATATTTTGTTACCTAGCCTAGAGAATTTGGTCTTGGGGATTTAAATTAATGAATCACCATTGTAGATTATTTTCAGTATCTCTGTCATTTGCTGTGTTACAATGTCAGGATTTATAACCTCCCATCTTTTTCTGAGAGCAGGAAGGAATTATTCCTGTGCTGTCTTTGCCAAGGCTGTGAAACACAAAGCTGGTAGGATCCCGGGGTGCCTGGAAATCTGGGATAGGCAATGGAAACATGCAACATCTGTAGGCTTGCTGGCTGCCCAGCATCAGGGGTTCTGACACAAGCTTTTCTCATAAGTCAGCATTTGGGTTTTGATGTTTTGATGTCACTTGGGTGTTTACAGATGAGCTCAGTGAAGATGCTGCGCGCGCGGCTCAACGGGATCCTGTTCCGGCTGATGTTCGAGGAGCACGTGAACAACATCAAACCCGACATCATGGCAGTGACCCTGGCCTGCGAGGAGCTCAAGAAGAGTGAAAGCTTCAGCAAGCTCCTGGAGCTGGTGCTGTTCCTGGGGAACTACATGAACTCTGGCTCCAGAAACGCACAATCCCTTGGCTTCAACATCAGCTTTCTCTGCAAGGTAAGCTGCAGCCGTGGGACAGCCAAGTGCAGCTCGAGTGCTGTGCCCAGTTCAGGGCCCTCTCTTTGGGAAGGACTTGAAGATGCTGGAGCATGTCCAGAGGAGGGGCTTGGAACACAAACCCTGTGAGGAACCACTGAGGGAGCTGGGGTTGTTCAGCCTGGAGAAAAGGAGACCTGGAGGTGACCTTGTCACTCTCCACAGCTCCCTGGAGGAGGTTGTGGCCAGCTGGGGTCGGGCTCTTTCTCCAGGCAGCACTGACAGAACCAGAGCACACAGCCTCAAGCTGTGCCAGGGGAAACACAGGTTGGATATTGGGAAGAAGTTCTCTACAGGAAGGGTGATAAAGAACTGGAATGGCCTGTCTGGGGAGGTGCTGGAGTCACCATCCCTGGGTGTGCTCAAAGACAGACTGGATGTGGCACTCGGTGCCGTGGTTGAGGTGTCAGGGATGGGTTGGACTCAGTCTTGGAGGTCTCTTCCAACCTGGTGATTCTGTGAAACTCAGGACACAAGAGAAAGTGCCCAAAGCAGGGAGAAGCAGCAATCAGTGTAATTTACTGACTGCACCTCTGTGTTTCATAGCAGACAGGGAAATCCAGAGTGAGCATTCCTGGGATTCCTTGGATAATTTTAAGGTGTCGTTACTTTTTGCTCCTAAGGAATGTATTTCCATCTTCAAGCTTGTTTAGCAGAATTTGAGAGCCTTTGTTTTGCATTTTGTTTAAACAACTTCTTTATTAGACCAGTGACCATAATTTAGTGGACTTTCTGCCCATGATAAAAGAATTTTATTATGTTTTTTAAGTCTGCTGTCAGCAAGGTGGAAGATGTCTATGTGCAGAATACACTCACTTCGTGATGAGGAATCCTAATGTGATGAATTCACTTTTCAATAAAGCCAGAGTTTTGTATTGATTTTTTTTTTTTTTGCTTGTTTCTTGAACAATCTTAAAATTAATTGTCTGTTTACTGGATGAAAATCTTACATTATACAGTCTGAAAAAAGAGGAGAAAAAAGGCAAATATTGATCTGGGATAAATGTTCGTTTTGGAAATAAATGCTTTTACAGCAGAGCTGGTCATTTCATACACAGATCTGGTTTTGTTACAACTTTTATTAAAACATGATAAAGAAAATAAAAGAAAGCACAACTGCAGCCTGTCTGGACTGAGCTAGAAGGCTAATGACTGAATAGTAATTGCAAATCCTTAAAAACAGATTATCTCTCTGGATGCTATATTGCAGTGCATGATGTTATTGAAGATAGAAATGATTTGTAAACAACCTTTGGCAGAAGGCAGAGAACTTAATTTAGTTCAAATAAGAGACATCGACATCAGAATTCCTGGGATGTGTCGAGACTGGCAAGGGAGAGCAGCTGTTCCTGTGCCTGCACCAGAGCATCTTCACTGCCTGAGCATGGGATGCTCTGTAAAAACAGAAATACGGCAGGAAAAGTGCTCAAGCTGAGGGAGGCTGCTGTAGTAATTCACTGCAGGTGAAATTTGCTGTGTTATTTTAATATGTCTAAAGGTTCCAGGTGCTTTCTGAACCCCCAGCACCCCCTCAGGCGTTCCAAATTCCTGCTCCATGGGAATGGAACTGAAAGAGGTTTGTTTTAGGGATGTGCAGGTCCAGCTGCTGCTCCTGTGGTGCTGAATGAAAGTCAAGACCAGCAGCTCAGTTGCAGTAAAGCTTTTGCAGCGTTCTGGCTGGATCAATGTGTGGTTTATTCTTTGAGTGCTGCTATGTTACTTTTTGTTCATCCTGCAAATAGAACAAGACAAGCTGTTTATCCAGTCTGAGTATTACTGATGAGGGGACGTTTATTGTCCAGTAGCCCTTGTTCTGGGAAGGGGGGAAAGATTTCTAGAGTAGGAGAAGGTCTGTAATCTCATAAAAATCAATAGAGAGCCTTTTTATAGCTATAATAAAGTGTCACTCCAGTGATGGTTGGTGCACAGGTTTTTCCCTGCATTGGCTGTCACGTTTAACCCTCACACCTGAAAGCTGCATCCAGAAGCAGCTGGGAAAACCCAGCCCCATCCTGGCAGAGGGTTGTGGTGGGATTGGCACGGGTTAAATGCTTTACTCTGTGCAAAGAGAGTTCTGTTGGTGTTTTTCTGGCTGACAGAATTAAGCATCCTCCTCCGTGTCTCCCTCGATTTGAATGGTTGTGCTGTGTTGTGCTCTGTGTGCCTTGGCCTTTAATCCTTTCCCAAGCAATGGATCTCGTGGTATTGACCCTCAAATTGATGCTTCAGCATTCAGCTGGAGCTGCTTTCTGCAGCCCACACTGATCTACCAATTTATTTCATTTCTTTTTAAACTGTGTTATTTCCAAATTCGGTCTCTCGGGCAAAGAAAGGCCATGGACTCAAAACCTGTATTTTAAAATTTGAACACCACAGCGTTAAAAATTTATCCTGAATCACAGAATGATGGAATATCCTGAGTTGGAGGGGACCCATGAGGTCCATCAAAGTCCAGCTCCTGGTCTTGTAAGCACAAGTTAATGGGCTCTTTTTGCTTTTCATCCCCTTGGCTGGAGTGTGTAGAACAGCAGAAATGAGGCAGAGCCTTTAGGTTCTTTACATGCCCAGGAATGTCATTCCATTGGGCAAAATTACTGCAAGTAAAAAGCTGAATATAAAAAGTATTGTGTTTATTTGCAAAGAAAAATTAAAATAATGGCTGAGTTATATATTGAATACAAGTACAGGGTGAGAATACAGGCACAACCATGCTGTCACCTGTCCAATTGCTGCCTGTCATTTCTATTTTTAGATTTAAACAGTGTGTGCTGAACTAACAGCACCTATCTTATTTTTCATTATAGGAGTAGGCTTAGGACTTGATTTTTGAAGTACAGATATTGATTCTCAATATCAAGCAGACTTATCTGTATCTATTGTGTTAAAAATAAAGATGAACATAGCAGAGACTTGTTTATGATTGGGCCAAAGAAATGAGTTTGATACATTTGTTCAAGATCTAAATCAATGTTTACTACAAGGTGCTAATACTGACTCTTGTTATGATGTTGCTCTTGGTGGCAAAACATGTCCCTGTTGTGATTTGAAAGCAAAATAATTTTGTCCATTTAGAAAAAAAAGTGCTTTATCCACTAGATGATGTCAGAGAGATCAAAGACTGCAAATCCCACTACTGTTGTTCACAGGCAAATTGAAATGCAATTTCTCTTTCCCATGCAGATGTTTAGCCAGTAAATCTAGGATTTTTTTCAAGTCAGAAGAACTTCTGTGTATGTAACACATTAAAGCCCTTTAACTGCATACCATTACTGAGCATTGTTTAGTCTTTAATCGCTGAATTGGTATGAATTAAATTGCTTTCTTAATTGCCTAAATACCTTATATTTTTAAAAGCCTGTTTTTCCACTGCACTCATTTATTCCTAACAGGGTAATCCTTAAAGCTGAAAGGCCTCTATTAAATTGAACATCGATGGCAAGCCTGTCATGAGGATTATAGAATTAGAACTTCAAGTGATTTAGAGAATGAGAAAACAAATAGGAGATTTTACACACGCATTTATGTATTCTTCTTAAATAAATCCTTTATTTCATTTGTTGTGTATGTTGTAGCTTACTTCTGTGTAAGAACTGTACTAGATGAGTAAAATGCTGTTAAAACAATTCTTTCCAGATGTATCACTAATTCTCTGTCAATGAAGTGTGTTCCTCTGAAACTCTAACCTGCACCTACTCTGGCTGTTGTCTTTGTGAATAAGAGGAAGTCACTGCTTCTGTTGGATCTTCCATCAGCTCACACTCTCCTTCTTCACATCTGCACAGAAATGGGCAAACTCAGAAGCCTTGGTCTTCAGTTTGTTCTCTCATTCTCTTAAATTCGTGATGTTCCTTTGTCCAGCCGTGTGCACTGTGCCATGGGCTTTAGCCATAAGGTTATTTGAAACATGCCACTGCTCCCATAGTCTAACAAATAGTTCAGGTTTTTATTTTTTTAACTAAAAAAACCTCATTTCAGCAGTTCATGCACTCAGGCTAATGGAGAACAGAGCCTTATCACTTCCAAGAATACAGATATATTTCAGGCCACTAAAAAGTGCCTCTGCAGTCAAAAGAACAGCAAAAAAATATACATTTACCTGTTACTTCCCATTGTGCAGAGTTCTCCTGCAGCTTTTCATAAATACAACTGATGCATCAAATTTCCTTTAGCTACAGTCAGGATTACTTTTGATGTTTTTGTTGTCATTCTGTATTCCAGTGAGGCAGAGTGCATTTATTTTGTGTGTCTCTATAGAATTGGTCTCCAAGCCTTTAGCCTAAAGCAGCGTGGTTTGGATTTTGCTCCAAGAACAGATTGTGGATTTCCAACAAGGAGTTCCTTTAATTTGACTGGTCAAAATGTAAATTCTGTTAGCATGAGGTCCAGCTATGCAGCATTTCAGGGATTCCTCCAGAGATATTTGGTATTTATGGTGTTGAAGGAATGTTCTAAATTCAATTGTGTTTAATCTTTGTTCACAGCTATTTTTTATCTGGGGGGTTCTGAACTGGCAGTGCTAAAATCTCAGAACTTTATGGACTGTCTTCAGATCTTGTTCTCATCAAAATTAATCATTCTTCCTTAAAATATGTATTTTTCTTAATTTCTTAAAATGCAAGGTAGATTCTTTTTGTAGTCCAAAATGATGAAGAGTTCAAGAAATTTCTTTTTTTAAATTAATTAATCTTTAAATCTCTTTTTTTGCAGGCAACCTCCATAGGTAACTTTTTCTTAAGGAGTTGAAGTCTGCAATATTCACTTTATTGAAATATTTTAAGAATTTTTTTTTTTCTTTTTGTCTTTTTTTCCTGTGTTCCTTTTTTAGATAAGAGACACAAAATCATCAGACCAGAAAACCACCCTGTTGCATTTCCTGGCAGAAATCTGTGAGGAGAATTACCGGGACATCTTAAAATTTCCGGATGAATTGCAGCACGTGGAGAGTGCAAGCAAAGGTAAGCAAGCAGACAAAGCACCTGAAGGCAGCAGTTGTTTGCTTTGCCATTAAATCCTTCCAGCATTTCTTTTGGGATTGCAGGATTATGTAACCTGTGAGCATTGATAATCCACGTGCATTGTGCCTTTCTGGTTATTATTGAGCTGAGAAGGCAGGAGGGAAAACCAGAAATAGAGCAGCAACTCCTGCAGCAGGCTGTGAAAATGATGAGATTGATTTGGGTGAGATGCTCAGGATTTGTGTCATTTCAGGGTGAGCTCTGTGTGCAAGGAGCCTTCCACACCTGAGAGGGAAAATAACCAACATGCTCTGGAGAATTCCCAGGCTGCACAAGGATGGATGCAGTTTAATTGTGCTGCACAGGCAACAATTGATGGTTATTCTTGGTCAGGCAGCAGTTCAGGCTGGGGGATGTGATGGGTTCATCTCTTGGCTGTTTTTTGGCTGTGCTGCTTGGCATGCTTCTTGCTGAGTTTTCTGCTGAGGTGAAAGTAGCTGGTAGATGAAGATAACACAGACTTTTAATTTACCCATTTCATCAGAAGACAAATACCTGAGCACAAGAATATGAAGGAAAAGAGAGGTGAGAAGCAGTTGGATGCTCATTTCCACCTGCTCTGTCCAGGCTTTCTCCTGGAGATTTTTGTCTCCTTTTTTCCAGTGTTATCAGTCAGTGTCTCTCCAGTGCAGTGATTAGCTGTCAGACAGATACTTTATTAATTAGGCCATCATTTGCTTTCAGTTTGGGTTCTTCTGTCTTAAACTGTCTGCTGAGAGCAGAACTCTTGTTTCCCCAAGGACCTGGGGAATAGTTCATCCATCAAACCCAACTTTGCCATTGGTTCACCTCAGACTTCTTTACACTTTTATGTGTCTGTCTATATTGTATTTTTTTGCTGTTTCTCTAACTTTCCATGTTTTTTTTCTCTGCATTTACCCTGTGTTTTATTTGTGATGATGAAATGTGTCCCTGCTTTGCTGCGGGATGGTTGATTGGCCTGAGGACAAAATGGGGCTGTCTGGGATTATTGGGGTGAGGGATCCTCGTGAATCCTTTCCAGCTCAGGATATTCTGTGCTTCTCTGGACTAACACATTCATTATTTATTCAACTAGCACTTTGGCATCCTATCTAAATTCCAAAAATGTTTTCTACCACTTGATAATTCTTTTCTTGAGGTGACATTCAATCTTTTTATTCCTTTCTTTGTAAAGTCTTCTGCTTTACCAGGCACTTTTGATGATCTTTTATGAATTTTCTTCTGTGGCTGACACTTGACCTTGCAGCTTTGAGGTTTTTGTAGTTTGATTCAAAGCCTCTGATGTTGTGTAAGTTGACTTCAGGAATGAAACTGAAAGATTCAGTAAAGTTTAGTTAAGCTGTAGCATCCTAAATAGAGACAGCATATTAATAGGAGCAAAGCCTCTAATAATTCTGATACTTAGAACACATATGAAAAAGATTTTATTGCAGTTAAATTTGTTTCATTCTGTAAGATAAAAGCTGCATTTCCTATAAACAGCACTGACTTCTAGCAGAACATAAATTACTGTTCATTTTTAATGACCAAAACTTCTCTTTCAGCCTTTCTTTGCTTTCTGGAGCAAGGCAGATTTTTGGCAGAATAAACATGATTTGTGGAAGTTGCTTCAACTGTTCCCCATGCTCCTTCTGGGGGTTTGGTAATTGTGCTGTTCATCTGCTGTGTAGGAAGTTGAAATGCTTTGCATGGAGGAGATTTGCAGTTCCTATTTATTGTTTGGTGCTTTATAAACCAGTGGTTTTGGGGATGGGCACTTGGGTTTATTTTTCCTGTGGGAAACCTCTTTTGGAATAAATTGGCTGGATATGAGGATGCTGGCTTCAGTTATTCATAAAATAGGAAGAAATCTAGCAGCAAATATTATCTCTGCATGAATTTTAAATAAGGAAATATGATCAAGGCAGGTGAGTGTTGTTATTTGAGATGGATTCTGGTACAGCCCCAACCTTCCAAATTCTACACTCAGCATCTGCAACTTCTTTTCAGTCTTGGCTGCATGCTCTCAGTTCCATATAAAGAAAAAAAAAAAATCCTGTTCAGCTTGTTTTTCATAGAAGAATGAAGAACCAGCATCTGAACAACAGCTGATTTTATTTTATTTTTTTTAACCAAAGAGCAGATAAAGCATAAAACTGGATTTTAATATGAAAAGGTCAATGGGATTAGATGAACTGCCCATGCATGCATGAAAATCTTCAATAATCTGTTATTAGGTATAATAAAAGAGTTGATCTTTTTAAAGATGGAAGATCAACCTGCAGGTTTATGAAAAGTAAAAATAAATTAGGAAACAGTTTTATTCTGGAAAATACAAGCAAAGGTCAAAGTGATTAACTATCAAGAAATCACTGGAAAAGCATTTCTTCTTCCTGGAAGCAGGCTGTGCCAGGAAAACCAACCAAAACTCACAGGGCTGTGAGGAAGTGCCTTGTTTGATGTCAGGGACTCTCTATTCCCTCTTTTCCCCTCTTTTCTCCTTTTCTCCTTTTCCCTTCTCCTTTTCCTCTCTTCTTTTCTCCTTTCCCCCTCTTCTTTTCCCCTCTTCTTCCCTCTTTTCCCCTCTTCTTCCCTCTTTTCCCCTCTTCTTCCCTCTTTTCCCCTCTTCTTCCCTCTTTTCCCCTCTTCTTCCCTCTTTTCCCCTCTTCTTCCCTCTTTTCCCCTCTTCTTCCCTCTTTTCCCCTCTTCCCTCTTTTCCCCTATTTTCCCCTGTTTTCTCCTATTTTCCCTTTCCCCTTTTCCCCTCTTTTCCTCCCTTTTCCCCATTGTTTTCCCCTGGTCCCTTGGAGCCAGGCCCAGCCTTGCTGGCCCATTTTTGCCTCCTTCACTTCATTTTTTATCCCACTTGCTGCTTTTTATGCAATTTCCTCTCACCACTTTCTAACCTCTGCTGTTTTTTATTAAATTCCTGAAAAATTCCCATCCCATTTTGGGCTTCAGTGAAATTTCCAAATAAAAATAAGAGGTACCTTACAAGTCAGGTGTTTCTACACAGCCACGTGGTTAAAAGTATAGCTTGGAATCACTCAGAAAAGAAATATATTTTTCAAGTTAAGGCTCTCCTGAGTGTCAAGTGCCTCAGAAATCATAAAAGTGATATAGGGAACACACAAAATTAAGGTGATTAAAATAAGTTAGCCATGTATTTTATAAAAGCAACTTAATTTTAGATATTAAGAGCAACAGTTTTACATCCCAGATGATGATTTAAATATTGTGCCTGTAAATAATAAAACATAAAAATAAACTGTAGCTGTAGTTTTATCTGTGGAATATCAGAGATATTCCTGATGTAGCTTGGTCTGCCAGCAGTGGCAGTCACTGGGCTCTGCAGAGTCACAGCAAATGGAGATTAACTGTCAAAGTGGGATATCTATAATGGAAATATCTGTATTTTTTAGTCTCTTTCAGTAATAACGAGGCCTTTTTTGAGCACTTAACACACTGAATTCTTGGCCTGATATAAAGGTGTGCCACTTCATGGTTCTTTTAAAGTGTTGTTGAAAGTAAAATCAAGTGAAAGGTGCCTTGTGGGGTGAATTAGGCCTGTGCAGTGGACTAAAAAATACCAATAACAGCAGCACAGATTTGTCACTCATGTGGACATTGAAATTTATTTCATTAATTTGCAGCCATATGGTTGAGGCATCTCTCTAGAAAGGCCATTAGCAATCAGGAGCATTGGGGAATGCAAATATGTGTGTACTTTTTATTACAAATCCTGTAATAAAATAGGAATTTTGAGATTTTATACAGGTACTTCACTGTGATTTAATGGCATCATTTTAGAATGGGGGAAATATTTTAAAACATCCTGTGCCACTGTCACTTTGAAGTACAGCAATTTAAAACATGCTCATAAGCAGCAGCCATTTTTCTGTCAAAAAAAAAAAAAAAAAGTTTTATAGTTTGTTGCAGCAAGAAAAACCTGTGTTTTAGCCAAGAGATCTGCAGCATTTCCACCTTGCACAGCTGAAATTGCTGGAACAGGTTTTGCCCAGTCTGGCACATGAAACCTCCATGGCATTCCTTGTGTTGTAGTTCCAAGATTTCTCCAGAGATCCTTTAGGAGCCTCGCTGAGATTCTGCTCTGAGAAATTGTTTAGTGGATTCTCCCAGCCTGGGAAGGCTTTGAGGATTATTTGAGTCGCTGTCTGTGTGTAATAAATGCTGTAGAGAACTGTGGTTGCTCTGCATTCTGGAGGTGCATTTTGAAGTTACGATTTGGAATCTCCATTAGACAGCTCTCTGTATGGCTCGCACTTTGAGGCTCTGCTGCTCTCCCTGAAGTGAAAGTATCAAGGGCAGAATGAAAGAACAGTCCAAATGACTCTCATGGGCTGTTGCTTATTAAAGAAATTAAAGCATTTAAGAATTTCTGGCTGTAGTTAAACCAATTCAGAAGTGAAGATTGCTTTAAATGTCTTAAGTTGTGTAATCCATTTAGAATTCCTTAATGCAAGCCTCTGGAGAGAGGGGAAAGCTGCAGAATGGCACTTTGTTCTTTCTCCTGCCTGTCTGTGGTCGAATTTGGGCTTTGCTGGCTGTGAGGAAGGTTGTGGCAGCTCTGGAAGTGGGTCAGGCAGTCAGGAAGGCCAGGCTGCAGTTGGGTGAAGTCACCCAACATCTCTGAGTTCTTCTGTCAGCAGCAGGTTGTGTGACAGGAGCTTTGCTCCTTCTCTCTGCATTCCTTACTTTGTGTTTACTTGTCTCCTCTGCTTCATTTGCAATTTGTCTTACACCCCTGCCAGCAGTTCTGCTTCAGCATGCTCATTTAATACATACTGATTTTGTAATTATAAGCTCTCTTTTAAAAATAAACTCAACTTCTGAGATCTTGAAAGACATTTGTAATTAAATCAACATCAAAGTAGGGCGAGTTTCTGGAGTGCTCTGGAGGTGATATCCCACATTGCCAGGAGAACGCTGCTGATTGCAGAGCTGTTCTCACCCATCAG